TTTTTATTTCCTGAGGTAGTTCGTCTTCTAAATTGTCATTAGATTCGACTACAATCTCCACTTCTTCAAATTCTGCGTTGTTCTCCATGTCTTCTTCTAACAGGGGAACATCTGCTTCATTCCACGGTCTCCACGGTTTACACATTTTAAAGTGTTAAAAAACAGGAACCTTCAAAAAATGTTTAATTGTAAGATTCTAATAAATATGACGTACCTTTATCTCCAGCGAATAGAATCTATGGCCTTAAATGTAGAAGACACAAAAATACAAGAAGAATGTTGTTAATCGACAGGAAAACAAGACAAAAATGATTATTTTCAAACTTATCTGTAAGATAAACAGAGTACAGGTACTTACCCTTAACCTTTGAACTATCCAGTGAAAACAGCCTCGCAGGGTCAAAGCTCGGGAAACGGGTACATAAATACGTACTTACCGGAATGTAGATTAAACTCTTAAAAATGATACATATTACCTGATGTTAAAATAAACGCTTCTACTTATTTGAAAATACCCCGCAGCATCAATACTTAATCAAATTTAAAACGGTTTATTTACGTTTCAAATAAAAATTTCAAGTTTCTGCAAATATTCATTACGGTCCATCTTGGACGGCATTTATGCATAATAAACATCTCTTGGGATCAGTTTTACCACGGTCCTGCGAAGGTCTACGGTTAAGGTACTGTAAAATACTTAAAACGTCACTATATTTTTGTTCGTACAATACCTATATTATACCAAATATTATACCACATAAATATATTGACAGGCCTAGATCATTGCTTAATCAAATTTAAAACGGTTTATTTACGTTTCAAATAAAAATTTCAAGTTTCTGCAAATATTCGTTAGGGTCCGTCTCGGACAGCACTTAATGCAGAATAAACATCTGTTGGGATCAGTTTTACCACGGTCCTGCGAAGGTCTACGCTTAAGGTACTGTAAAATACTTAGGTCACTATATTTTTGGTCGTACAATACCTATATTATACCAAATATTATACCATATAAATATATTGACAGGCAGACCATTGTTATGGAATTTATTTTTTCTGGAAACAATAAAATTAGCAAAAAAAAAAATAAATAAATACAACTAAAATATTTGAGAATCTTCTCGTCTCTCTGCCACACATAAATACACGAAACTTTGTTTTAATATAACTTGTGATTATATTTTGTTAAATTTTTATTGTATTTGTAAAATGGTTTGGACACCAGCGGTATCGCTTTCAAATAAATATTATTCGAGTAGAAATGGACGAAGAACTAACCAAACGTAATCGATGCAAAGCGGTATCCACTTTCGCTGATTCGGCGTTGATTTTCCTTAACCTTGACTCACAAACTTGGGTAGATTAAAAATGCGAGAAAAGGATAAGCAAGTGTGCGTTGAACAAGTTTGGCCCGTTAAGAAAGTGATCGCGACTATATCTCATTGTATATTATGTTATTAATCACTAAGTAAACTACTTCTGAAATATCAACAGTGGCGTCACACGCCACCAGGCATTTCAATTTTTTTAATTAATTAAAATTGATTAATTTAATACTTTACTTTAGTTAATTAAATCTCGAGAATATATACAATTTGAAATATGTCTGTATGGCTCTGCATAATCATACTTACGTGGAAAACATTTCCTTTGTTTCCTAGTTACGAATTTCTTGGATTTTTTCTTGATCATTTTCTTTCATATATCACAATTCGGTTGAAAATTATATTTTTAGCAAGCTCATAGAGAAAAGCAGAATACAACTAAGAATCTGGCAATAGCAATTATTCAAGTCCCACAATTGAGCACTTTTAAAATAACTAAAAACCTCATTTTACCACAATTAGCTTCAAATTTTCAAAAATTTGGTAATTAGATTCCAATATCCTCTTTCATCACAATTAGGGATTTGTGTTTTATAAATAAACCGCATCCACGCATTTTCCGTAAAATGGTTTTGTAATAATTTTCAAAAATAATTTACATTATATATCGAAAGGTTTTATCGGAATGGAAATTATTAAATTCCAGTTTAAACTAAAATTTTTATTTCCGGTAAATCGTTGTTAGCAAATAATTAATTACTTGTTTGTTTACGAAAACTATAATTGAAAATGAGTGTTTAAAATGTATTAAGTTTTATTTTGAGACTGCGTACCCTTAAGTCCCATTTGCGGCGTCACTGCACGCGAATTATTACGTAATAGTTCCATCAGATTAGTGCGTCAAGGAAATTTGTTTTCTCACGAAAACAGCATCAGAAGTATTCGAGACCACACCCAAAAGGCCGTTAGGAAATCGACGTAGAAACGTTAGCATGGCCTTCCCTTTTGGAATTCGATATTCATATTTTTGTTGTGTCTGCACTTGTGTAAACTAAAGATTATTAATAACCGATTCAACGTTTTGCAAATACGCCCACCGGAATTGGTGCAGAAACTACGTCCGAATCGAATATTAAACGAAATTTACGACTTTTCACAAAAATAACTTTCGAGTTTTAAGACAATTGTTATGGCTCTGTGTTAATGTTTTCATAACAAAATAGGCGGAATAATTGTTTCTGGTTTTTATTAATTTGAACATATTATTTCTACACCTAGAATACTACGCATAAATTTTAAATTTATTATAACCAAACTCATCAAGTAATGAAAGCTTAAAAAATCCTTTGGAAACAATAGCGGTATTTTGGACTGTTAAATTATTTACGCAAGAGCTAAGCGTTATCGTTTTGCTTTCGACAAATTAAATAATGAATAATGGACGCAATTACACGACAATTATTATGAGCGAGATATTTTACGAACATTTTAGAATGTACTCCCGGTAATGAGTTATGACAGGACACCTAGTTGAAAAAAAATTACCGCAGGAACTATTATAAAGGATATTAACGTCGGCTGTCACGCGTTATTAATATCAACTTATTATGGATTACTCTCGGCCAAAAAATATTTAACCGCTATGATCTGAGATGTATAATTAAATGTACATTAGTTTTTGTTACACGCAGGAAAGTTTTCTTACACGGCAATCCACGTGACAAATACGTTTGCTGTTGATGTTGGCTGTCACCCTTATTGCTATATTTATTTAATCTTTTGGAAACGTTATTAATTTCGAATATACTTTATACTTTTTTAAGAACCTAAATATTTAAACAGCAACAATGCCAATAATTGCCAGCTCTTATTTACTAGAAAAACAGATTTTGCACTAATTCTAAATCTTTTTAAAATTCCTAGAAAATGTTTTGGACAGATTATTAAGATGCATATTGACTGTATAAGTTCGTATTAGTTTTACTGCAGTCCAAATAGTTTATTTCTATTTTTTGTACGGTAGTTATGTGTTTTGTTTGTGTACATAAGAATATTATTTGTTTTCAATTGAGAAATATTGAGATCTTTATATAATTGCTATGTAGAAGTAAGCACGTTACAGTTAAAAAGTATTTTAGGCAACAAGTGGTATTAAATAAAAAGAATGTATTGCATAAATATTTAGTTTTGTCAGTATCTACATTTATAAATAACTGGAATTATGATAAAAAAACTGTAATTTTCTATTTATATTTTATTGTTACCTATTTTTTAATCACGGTCTACTTTTCTGAATGGTTATCTTTAATTTGTTGTTATTATAAATTTCCAAATCTCAAAAGAACTCCTTTTGAGCAAACGCATAATATTGCCATTATGTTGGCGTATCTTAAACAATTGTATCACCTAACTTAACATAGCTTTTTATCGATGCCAATTACGTTAAACGCCTCTTAATTTTAATTTTTCCAGATCTTGTTTTTGCTTTGTTTAAGTGTGGTTTTGGAAAGGCAGTCCTAAAAAACCCTAAAAATTAAAAAATCTGCGGAGGGAAGTTAAAAGAGTTTTCCAAGATCTGACACGTAGCAAAACAAAAAAATTTCCCAGCCATCTTAATATCGACTTTTTGCCTTAAAATCTTTTATTAATTTAATTTATTAAGTTGTTTTATGAATTTTTTCCATCGTAATCGTTTTAAAACATGTCATGCGTTTAATTTAATAATGTCTGAGCAAGAAAAATATTAACAAACTGAGGCAACTGGAACGTTCGTTTTTCCCGATGCCCGATTTGCCTCATTAGAATTCATTCAGCTGTGCAAATTTTAACTAACGCAGAGGAGAACGTGAAAATAGCGCCTGAAGAATATCGTGTCAGATAGTTCAGTTTTAATGAATTACACCGTTTTTAAAGATTATAATAATGCGAAATGAGGAAGAGAGTCTCTTCTAGCCGTAGCCTCGCCCCCGGATTTAAATTAGTAATTTTTAACGAGTCGAAAATACATTACTGCATTTGTTGAAACGAAAGAAAGTTCAAATGGACATTAGATTAATCTATTCAGTAATTGTATTTGCGATATAGCCTCCAGATACCAAATATGTAAGAAACTCAATGTTTCCTAGACTTCCTTTTAGAAGCCGCGTGTGGAATAATAGTATACAAGTTCATCGAAATAAATTCTTAATTTAAAATTTGATCACAAACAAAACAAAACTACGGATAAACCCTCGAATTATAAAATAAACGGCCTACCTTATGTGCACTCTAGTGTAAGACCCCCGAGGCCTCTCGGATTTTCTTTCTCCACACCATGTCCATTGCAGCAATGTAGTGGGGGTTACCAATCGCAAACACGCGAAAACTATGCGCGGTAATTCGGCCAAACAAAACCCGAGGGCTCATATTATCGCGGTGAAATGACACGCGTTTTTTACCATAAAGTATATAAAAATTAAATTAAAATAAAAATTGATAAATGTATTCGATTAACCCCGAATCATAAAGAAATCAATATATAGAAAACCCAGGTAATGAATTAATATTTAGTGTCAATATACAAAATAAATAACCAAAACTGAACATACCGCCCACCAAATACAACGGTATTTCAAAAAACAACAAAAAAAAAGAAAATAAACAAAATATGCTAATATTAAAGTTTATCAATTGTGATTAATTGGCCGGCAGAGGACATACCTTAATAACCGGTCGTTTGATTAAACCGTTTTGGGTTCTGACAGTGACTACTCGTGGAACACCGTCAGCACCAGGGTGAATGGAATCAATCCGTCCCAGTCTCCACTGGAGGGGAGGTAAATTATCCTCCTTCAGTACAACTAGAGTACCCGGCGTGATAAGAGTGGTATCTTTATCCCATTTAGCTCTCTGTTGTAAAGAATGAAGATATTCCATATGCCATCTTTTCCAAAATGATTGACGCATTTTGGTCAGTAACTGCCACCTATCAAGTCTATTCATAGGAACACAAGTGAGGTCGTGATCGGGAATAGCTGATAAAGGAGCTAAGGAGAGAAAATGACCTGGTGTTAAACTGGATAGATCGTTGGGATCACTACTCATAGCGCAAAGTGGTCTAGAGTTGAGTACGGCCTCAACTTGAGTGAGAACTGTGTAAAATTCTTCATAGGTAAGTAATTGTTCCCCTATGATTTTAGTAATGTGGGTTTTGACGCTTTTAATGCCAGCTTCGTGTAACCCACCAAAGTGAGGCGCTGAAGGAGGGAAAAATTGCCACTCGATTAATTCCTCAGCGGCTGCTTTAGCCATGCAATCTGCTAAGTATCGAGCTGCACCAACGTAGTTGGTACCGTTATCACTGTGCAGTTTGGAGCATCTACCACGTCGACTGATGAAGCGACGCAATGACGCAAGAAAGGCAGAAGTGGATAGGTCTGATACCAGTTCCAAATGCAGGCACTTTGTAGAACAACACACAAAGAGAGATAGATAAGCCTTTTGAGTACGGCAACCTCTATGTCTTGACATCAGTATCTGAAAAGGGCCACCGAAATCCAAAGAAGTACATTGAAAGGGCTTGGCTTGGGTAATGCGGAAACTAGGCAAATCGCCCATTTTTGGTTCTATTACCTGAGGATGTGTTCGAAAGCAGCGGAAACACTTATGGACAATACGTTTTATAGCTCCTTTAGCACCCAAAATCCAAAACCGTTGAGATATAAAATAGCGCAAGGCCTGCTGTCCACAGTGAAGGTATCTTTTATGAAAATCCTCTATTATAAGATCAGTCAACCTATGTTTGTTGGGAAGCAAAACGGGATGCTTCTGATCGTAATCAAGTTGAGAGTGAGTAAGGCGTCCGCCTACCCTGAGAAGTCCTTGTTCATCGATGAAAGGAGCAAGCTTTCTTAACGGCTTGGAACAAACACTCTTGTTCGAAAGATTGGAAATGTCTTCATAAAAGGCTTCTGCTTGTACTTGCTTCACAATGCGGAGAAGACTCTGAAATAACTCGTACTCCGTGAAAGGACGCTTTTTAACCACTGAAACCACTTTAAAATGAATGCCAAGAAAACGACGCCAATAAGTAATAAGGCGAAGTATTTTCTGTAACCATGAATACCTATTCAAAATATCACCAACAGGATTATAACCTTTTATTACCGTGAGAATGGTCGCTCTTTCTTCTGGTAGTGGTTCGTCCAATTCACCAAGTTCGTGTTTGGGCCACTCTTCGGAGGGACGCGACAACCAAGCTGGTCCCGCCCACCATAAGGGACAGTCAACTAAATCAGACGGAAGGACAGGGCGACTCGCAAGGTCAGCTGGATTGTCTTCTGATTTGATGTGAAACCAACGTTCAGGTGCTACATTGTCTTGAATCTGACTCACCCTGTTTGAGACGAAAGTGCGCCAACGACAGGGCGGTGACCTTATCCAACCTAGGACTATAGTCGAGTCAGACCAAGCATAAATATTTTGTACGTCGGGAATGTTGTAAACATTTAAGGCATATTTAAGCAATTTGGAAGCCATTAATGCAGCACTTAATTCCAATTTAGGAAGACTCAATCTCTTCAATGGAGATACTTTACTCTTAGCATAGAGGAGATAAGTAGAAATTTGGCCATCTGGAGACACGAGGCGAGAATAGATACAACTTCCATAACCTAGCTCTGAAGCATCCCCAAAAGCATGGAATTCTAAACTAACATACTTTGAAATAAAACAATAACGGGGTATTTCTAATGCTGACAGACTTGGCAATTCATTTTTGTAGTCGGTCCACCTTTGGGCAATATCTGCGGGCACTTCACTGTCCCAGTCGATACCTCTCGCCCATAAAGATTGCATTAGCTGCTTAACTAATAGAGTTATGGGACAAAGTAATCCAATTGGATCAAAAATTCTGGAGATTTCAGAAAGTATAGATCTCTTAGTACATGTCGAGTTGAGAAATTGTATGTCGTATGAGAAGATATCCTTCTCTGGAGACCATCTGAGACCCAAAACCTTCAAGTAAGGATCGGATTTAGTGTCAAGTGCGAGAGGTTTCTGTAGAATATCTGAAGGTATAGTAGCTAAGAAGTCAACACAATTGCTAGACCATTTTCTAAGGAAAAAACAACCCTCATCCAATAGAGCAATAAGTTGATGTTTGATATCCACAGCATCCTCTAAAGATTTACAAGATACACATATATCATCAACATACACTTGGGACGCTAAAATTGCTGCGGCCCTAGGAAATCTATCTCTACCCTCGGTGGCTAATTGTAAAAGATATCTCAGAGTAAGGAAAGGAGCTGAATTTAATCCGTAGGTTACGGTTTTTAGGCGAAAATCTTGAACAGGTTCTCGAGGGGAGAATCTCCATAAAATACGTTGGTAGTCTTGGTGGCTGTCATTAACAAGTATTTGTCGATACATCATTTTGATATCGGCAGTAAATGCTACAGGAAACCTTCGAAAACTTAACAGAATACTTACAATTTCATTTTGTAGTTTGGGACCAATCAACAAAGTGTCATTCAACGATCGATCCCGCGGACTGCAAGATGCGTCAAAGACTACGCGCAATGCAGTAGTCGTACTATTCGAATTAGTAACCCCATGGTGAGGGATGTAGAAGTGGCGCTGGGCAACGTCAGAGACAGGAGCAGACACGGGTTCCATATGATCCAGCTCTAAGTATTCCTTCATAAATTTGGAATATATCTCAAATAATGGAGGATCCTTAAGAAGACGGCGCTCTAAGCTATAAAACCTTTTTAGGGCTATGGAGCGTGAGTCAGAAAATAATGGCTCACCACTGGAAAACGGTAGAGTAACGATAAAACGTCCTTCAGGATTTCGAGAATGAGTCTCGTTAAAAGAAATTTCAGCGGGATCGTCAAGGGTTAATGAAGACTTGCTACTTGGAACTTCCTCCATTTCCCAAAACATTTGAAGAGTTTTATTAATATCCCGGTTTTCTTCCAATAGTGTGCAACAGGAATATGAGGACTTGCTTTTTATACGATCAATTTTACCCATCACTACCCAGCCAAATAATGTATTGAATGCGACAGGTTCCAACTCTTTACCGCACACCTTCTCAGGCAACAAAATTAAAGGGAATAACTCGCACCCGATGAGAGCATCTATAGGTCCAGGAGTATTGTAGGTGTCATCAGAAACGACTAAATTCTCCAAATGTGACCAGTTCTCGCGACTGAAAGATACAGAAGGCATGTAGGAGCAAATCTGCGGTAAAACGATACATTCTATGGGAAAAGAAGGTGTGTTCTTACCCACCGGGCGGACCGTACAACAAGTAACACCATTCGACGATACAGATGTCATATTACCTAACCCATTAATTGGAATGTTCAAACGAGAGCGGGAAAGTCCTAATTTCTTAAAGCATCTTTCGGATATAAAATTGCCTTGGCTTCCACTGTCCAGTAGTACTCTAACTGTGTGGGAATAACCTTGGCTGTCCAGAAAATCCACTTTTGCAGTCGCAAGGAGCGTAAATGCACTATTAGAATTTATGGAAGTGGTGCCACAATGTGGTTGATCTACGGAAGAGTCATTAGCACTGGGCAAAACATCGTCATTAGGTGGACTACGTTCATTACCATGTGCCGACTCGAAATGTAGTAAAGAATGATGGCGTTTCGTACAAGAAGAACAGGTCTTATTAGAACTGCATTTCGAAAATTTGTGAAACGAACTCAAACAATTCACACACAAACGGTTGCGTTTAACTAGTAAATAGCGCTCATGAGGAGTCTTACTTAAAAAGACGGAGCAGTTTATAATGGAATGCTGGGTCCTACAGATACCACAATTCAATGTAGGACCGTTATTAGAAGGAGTATTAGTAAAAAATGCTTTGGAGTGATCACCATTATTCCTAGAACCTGACTTATGTTGACGGTTACTGGCAAAAGACTTACTATTATAAATGGTTCCGGCATTTTTTGATTTATTTTCTTCCTGAGTATAGGTCAACGTATCTAAAACCTTACACCTGTTATTCAGAAATAATTTCAACTGCGCAAAAGTGGGTATATCAAATTTTGCGTGCTCCATTTCAAATCGCTGTAAGGTATCAGAATCGATTTTCATTAAGAGTAAATTAAAAAGCAAAAAATCCCATTCCGCAGTAGGAAAGTTCAATAATTTTAATGCCTCCACATTTTCACAAAACTTATCAACAACATTACGCAGTGCTTGATTCGATGGATTTGAAATTTTGGAAATGTTCATTATTTCATTGAAGTAATGAGTCGATAAAAGCCGTTTATTGTCGTATCTTTTTATTAAAGTATCGTAGGCTACTGCGTAATTGTCATCAGTTATAGGAATATTTCTCAATAAACTGAGCGGTTCTCCGGTTACGAGAGTAAGCAGTAATTGAAATTTTTGTGAAGCGGAAAAGTTCATATTATGCACCGAACTCCTGTATAAATCAAAAAATGTCGGCCACTGTTTTAAATTGCCTGAGAAAACAGGTATATCTAAACGGGGAAGATTAAAATTTAGGTAAGGCGGCAAATTATGGCTCTGGCCTGGTGGCGAAGGTGGTACCATCATGGATATTTCAGATTTTATACAAAGTTCACTATAAATGCTTATAATTGAAAAGTATTGATCATCAACTTCCGCTCGAATTAGCTCCTGCTGCTCAAGCATTACATCCGTTACTCTTTTATCAGAAATTATGTCCAAATGCAACCTATCAAACTCATTATATGTTGATTCTAACGCCGAATATCGTATTTTAAAATCATTAATTTTAGCTGGGTTCTGTGTAGCAGCAGTAGCTAAATCGTAGATTTCTTTCAATCTTTGTATAAAAACGCTTCTTCTATTTACTTTTGAATCTGCCATGGTTTAAAAATATTTTTAGAAATTTTCTATATCATAAAAAAATGGCAAGAAAGAAGAAATTAAATTCAATTATATTAAAATATGCGAACAACCTCGTAAAATCCACCAAAACCACAATTGATAACAAAAAACAATCAAAATATCGTACACAAAATCAAGACCGCAAAAAACTCTAAACGATTTAAATTCTTTACCTGTTTTCCGATACTTCGTCAAATTTATTCAAGGTCGTCTTATTTAAACGCCTTTATAGTGAATGAAATCAAAATTATTTTTACCAATTTAGTATTAGAAAATGAATTTAGAAAAGACAAAATAATTTTATTTTTGAATTACTGATTCTTTAAAAATCCGGCTCGAAGGACCATATGTAAGAAACTCAATGTTTCCTAGACTTCCTTTTAGAAGCCGCGTGTGGAATAATAGTATACAAGTTCATCGAAATAAATTCTTAATTTAAAATTTGATCACAAACAAAACAAAACTACGGATAAACCCTCGAATTATAAAATAAACGGCCTACCTTATGTGCACTCTAGTGTAAGACCCCCGAGGCCTCTCGGATTTTCTTTCTCCACACCATGTCCATTGCAGCAATGTAGTGGGGGTTACCAATCGCAAACACGCGAAAACTATGCGCGGTAATTCGGCCAAACAAAACCCGAGGGCTCATATTATCGCGGTGAAATGACACGCGTTTTTTACCATAAAGTATATAAAAATTAAATTAAAATAAAAATTGATAAATGTATTCGATTAACCCCGAATCATAAAGAAATCAATATATAGAAAACCCAGGTAATGAATTAATATTTAGTGTCAATATACAAAATAAATAACCAAAACTGAACAAAATATTTTCGCCAGATTTTTCTTGTTCCGTTCAGCCTGTAAGGAGAAAGCCAGACATCCCGTACAATTAAACTGGGTGTTAAAACAAATAAATAAAATAATTAGTATATAAAAAAAATAGTAATAAAATAATAAAGAAATATGTATTCAAGGAAATGCATAGTCAAAATAAGTAAACTGAATTGCCACGTCTAATTTTTCTATAAAATATAGTAGTTGCTGATCTATTGTAATATTCGAATCTTGCACAATTTGGTGGAAAATAATTCGGTGTTTAACTATTGCCAGCAAAATTAACATTTCATGGCGACAAGTTACTTACATTTATTGTAAATTTTTATTTATTTCCAATTTCACCGACACACAGTGAATTTTAAGAAGAATAGGATCTGGATTAATGTTTGTGTCAATTTTCGCAAACATCGTGTATATTTTTCTCTATAGAAATCGCAAAAGTTCTATTACGTATTTCACGTGGTCAGTTTACTTTCACAATTGCGTTTTGTTATTGGTTTCTTTCTCTTCTTTTTATACTTAATGTTGTTAGTGTTATTTTGATAATATTCACTTGTGTATGTCACGCGCAAATAATAAAGGCAATGGAAGTTCAAAATACATCATTTTATTTGCCTATATAGTTTCCACTTATAACATATGGTGCTCCTTTGAAGTCCAAAATACAATTATACACTACTTTGAGCCAAACTTCAGTATTATATTTTTTCTAAAGAGACGGTGTAGTTCCACAAAGATGAATTCTGAGCTACGGAATAAATGCCTCGATGTAAAATCTTATTTGTCATTTAAATCTAAGTTTAGGAATTATCTCCTTAATAACTCTTCTAATTTAAGTTATATTGTGGGTATTAATAATATATAAGACATATTTGTTTATTAGTATTATAATAATTTATAACGGTTAAGAAAACCGATATACTATTCATTGCCGAGTTGAGAATATAAGTCTCCTCCATTTTATTCTATTCCGACTATCTTTGACGCTCTGTTTAGATCGTCACCTTTGAAGAATATTTTAAATATCTAATTATTGGCGATTAAAAAAATTCTAAAAAAGAGTTTCACCCTTAAGACGCGAAACTTTGGTATTTTATAATCAAGATTAATATAATCCTAATTTGCATAAAAAATTTACGTCTAGAAGAGAGAAGCCGTTGACTAATTTAGTACCTTAAAAGCCCCTTCAAAAATGCGGTCGAATTGAAAATCTCCCTTCGCCGAGGAAGTTTAAGGGCTAGTTTCGAATGTTCCCCGGGCCCATTAAAGCAGCAGCATCTATTTATCTTTTTATGCGCAATTACTGGATTCATAAATGACTAATTACATGGCCACAACTGTTCAACAGAGAAAAAGTTTGCGCAACCCTTGAAGACGATACGATTTATGGCTGAATCTTTGGCAGAAATTCTATATAACATCTTTTTAATGTTTTCGGAATATAAACGAAGGTAAAACCCAGTCGGAGTAGAATTACGTATAGCAAAGAAACTCGATTTTTGGTTTGGAAAAACATTCTTTTAATTAGCTTAAATAGCTATTATATTCCGAGGCGTACTCTGAAAAGATTTTTTTGAAGCGACGCAACCCTGAAAACTAAAGTCGAATTTAATAGAGCTTTTTTTTTTAGTTTTTTTCGGTGTTTGAGGAATTGAGGTTTCTATCATAACGTAGTAAATAATTGCGCTTGTGGTTTAAATCCGTAACGATGTAATAAAAGCTATTAATCCGGCATTTCTTTTGATAATTCTGACGACAAACCCCAACCCAAATGAAAATTTACGAGGCCTTTAGCTAATACGGAATCAGTTTGCGGTGTAGCGTACGTCGTAAAAAAACTTTTAATTTTCACACCCTCTTTAATAAAAACAGTAGGGCACGGCGTTGTCATTATTAAGCCAGTTTTAAGAAGAAAAACGTCTGCTAACGACTCCTCCACGTTTACATATCACTTAATGTCGTCTAAATTGAAATAGAGTACCTACGCTTCGCTCCAGTATTAATAAAAATTCTGCACGTATACGGCGTGAGTAAAAAGTATGAATCCTGAAGGCACCTCGCATTTTTTAATAGGAAATAGATATTTGGTAAAATTTTTGGTTTTGAATTCTTCGAAGTCGCAATTGATAAAAGTAATTTTTATAAAAAAATTAATAAGAACTAAAAGTTCAGATTTTCACGAAATTATATATTTTTGCATGACAATTGTTTTGACAACACCGTGTCTTTATCAAATGTAAGATTTGCAAACTATCTGCTACTATATATACCGAAAAATAACCATAAAACGTCAATTAATGTTGTTGTGAGAATTAAAATTCAATAAAGAGGTATTTAAATCTAACTGATCGTTAAGCAATACATTTGAATATCTCATTTTATTAACCTCGATGGCTTCCAATAAATTTAATTTTCTACTTTTTGTGGCTTTTTGTCGTCAAAATTGTGTTTTTCTGTGCTTAATCTAGACTATTGTTTTTAAACGCTCTTTTATGTTCGTCAATGCGTTTCTTGAAGGATCTACCTGTTTGTCCAATATAAATTTTATTTAAATAAAATTTGAGACAAGTTAAATTACATAAACAAGATATGCCCATTGGGCCAGTTGTGTCTTATGTAATTTGCAATAAAAAATTCTTTTGAATTAATCAAAAAAATTCGAGATATCAAAATCTCTTCTAACGCAACACTATTGTGTTTTGATGTACAAAACTTATTTCCCAGTATTCCACCTATGGATGTCATAGATTTAGTAGATTTCACCCTAGCTTGGAAACAAGTTAACGCAACTTTTACTTAAAGGATGTTCTAGTTAACCCATTGGTGAAACAAGATTTATTAAATTGCTTAATAGTATCTTTAGACCAGAATTATTTTGAATTTAATGGACAAATTTACATCTCTAAGGAAGGTTTGATTATGGGAAAACCACTTAGCCCTTTATTAGCCGGGATTTTTATGGATAATTTGGAAAATATCATACTAGAACATGCTTTAAGTAAAAGTTTTCTATAGTGTTATAGATACATGGATGATGTCTTCGCTTGCTTTGTTGGAACGGACAGACAATTGAATTATTTTTTAAATTACATTAACTCATTACATAATAGTATAAAATTCACCATCGAGATTGAACAGGATAACTCTATTAATTTTTAGACTTAACTATTACGAAAACGCAAAACAAATGAGATTTTTCCATTTACCATAAACCTCCGCACACGGACACAGTTATAGATAACAGCTCAAATCATCCTTATACAGACAAAATGGCTGCATTTCACTCTTTTATACACACACCTCTTAATAAGCCACCCTCAACAGAAAATTACAACAAAGAACTTAATATCATTAAATAAATTGCACTGAACAACGGCTACAATCCGTCCATTATAGATACAATTATAAATAAAAAAATAAATGGAGATAACAGTAAACTCTATTTATCCGAAACCTAATACAGAACACGAACAATTTAAAACAATTACATAGATAGGACAACCTAGTGAAAACGTTTCAAAACATTTGTCAAAATGTGGTTTAAAATAGATTTCAGAACTAACAACACATTAGGAAAATATTTAAAAAACAATAAAACGAAATGTCCAAAATCTCAAAAATCCGGAAATGCGGATCTTGTCCTAAAATTTATATTGGACAAACAGGTGGATCCTTCAAGAAACGCATTAACGAACATAAAAGAGCGTTTAAAAACAATAGTCTAGATTCTAATTATGCTACTCACTTAAGCACAGAAAAAAATTTGACGGCAATTTTGATATTTTACATACAGCCATAAAAAGTAGAAAATTAAATTTATTGGAAGCCATGGAGATTAACAAAATGAGACATTCAAAGTAACGTTGAATTAGATTCAAATACCTCTCCTTTATTGAACTTAAATTCTCACAACAACATTAATTAAGGTTTTATGGTTATTTTTGGGTATATATAGTAGCAGGTAGTTTGTAAATATTACAATTGATAAAGACAACGTGTTGTCGAAACAATTGTATAATATTAAGCACAGAAAAAAATTTGACGGCAATTTTGATATTTTACATACAGCCATAAAAAGTAGAAAATTAAATTTATTGGAATCCATGGAGATTAACAAAATGAGACAGACATTC